TGAATCTTTCCCAAGCTTCACCAAAGCTTTCATTGTTCCTATGTGCAAACCCTGAAATCTCATTCCTGATTCTTGCAGTTCTTGAAGTTGAGAAGAACTTTGCTAAGAAGGCTCTCTTGCACTCATCCCAACTAGTGATGCTTCCTTGGGGAAGGTTCTTCTCCCATTGGTGTGCTTTATCTCCAAGAGAAAAAGGGAATAACCTGAGTTTGAAGCCATCTTCACTCACTCCATTGATCTTTGTTAGTGAGCATAGTCTATCAAAATTATCCAGATGATCGAGAGGATCTTCAAGTGGCAACCCATGGAACTTGTTGCTCTGAACCATTGAAATCAATCCACTTGATTTCAAAGTTGTTGTTTTGCACTGCTGGTGGAATGATGCCAGTTCTGTTGTTGTAGGCATTTGGTGCATCACCAGCGCCAATGGGTCTAGCTGCTCTTGGAGCTTGTGCAGCGCCTCTTGGTCCTTGCTCACCTTGTAAGCCCTGAACACCTTGATGTCCTTGTATATCCTGAGCGCCAACAGCTCCTTGAGGACCCTGAAATCTGATATCATCTATAACAGGTTCCTGATTGTTCATCCCAAGTCTCTGCAAGTGTTGCTGCCTTTCTTGGTGTCTTCTTGCTCTCTGACCTCTGTCTAACAGATTGATGTTGTCTATGTGAGATTGCTTGAACCTCTGGATCTCAAGTTCATATACCTGAAAGACAGCAATGGGAGTCAAGGGAGATTAGTAACCAAAATAAAAATAAAAACTTGATCGTAAAGACTCTACAAACTCTAATGATTCAAACAGAAAACCCAATCGGCAACGGCGCCAAATTGACACAGGAAAGTTACATTGTAATAATAGGAAAGACAATATTTGCAATAAGATATGTATCGCTTGATTGAGGGCAATGATATGTGAACTATCGTTAATGTAGAATCTCTAATACACCTCCTCCAGATGGCGGTGTATGCGAAACGCCAATCTTGTTTCTAAGTGCCTTGAATCGAGAGCGTCTGAGTGGTTTTGTAAGACCATCCGCTAATGGATCATGTGTGGATATAAGTGAGACTCGCAGCTTTCCATCTTGAACTTGTTCCCAGATGAAATGATAATACAGTGCAATGTGTTTCATTTTAGAATGCAGAACAGAATTTGCACACATATAGGTTGCACCGATATTGTCACCATATATAGGCAAAGTTGTTGTAGATTGAATTCTCAATTCTGAGAGAAGCAAGCATACCCACAAAACATCAGATGCGTTGGCTACTGTTCGATATTCAGCTTCTGTTGAGAATCTTTCGACACCTTTCTGTTTTGTTGAAGACCATGAGATTGGTTAATCACCAAGGTAGACGATGTATCCATTTGTTGACACATAGTCTGTAGAATCTCCTGTCCAATCAGCATCCATAAATGCATGAACACTAAGATTACTTGACTTGCTTATGAAGAGGCTGTGAGTTGTTAAGCCAGCCAAATATATTAATATTCGTTTTGCAGATTGCCAATAGTCAGAGGTTGGAGATGTCATAAACTAAGACAGTTTGTTGACGACACATGCAATATTCGGTCGTGTAAATGCCAAATATTGTAAGCTGGCAACTAATTGTCAAAATTCAGTTGGATTAGAATGAGGATCACCTGTTTATTTTAACCATGGAGCCAAGGCCATAAGAGTTACAACGGGTTTAGCATCTTGCATATTCATCTTAGCCAACAAGTCATGAATATACTTCCGTTGATTCAGATGTTATCCTTGTGGTGTTCGAACTGCTTCGATCCCCAGAAAATATGAGAGGTGAACCATGTCTTTTATAGAGAACCGTGTTGCCAGGTTGTTGATTACTTGTTTGATGGATATGTTGCTGTTGCTGGTAATTATAATATCGTCTACATAAACGAGCGCGTAGACAATGATCCCATAGTGATTGAGAATAAACATAGAGATGTCTGCGATTGAGTTTTTGAAACCAGTGGAGACGAGATACCCCTTTAGCTCCATGTACCAAACACGTGGTGCTTGTTTTAGACAATAAAGAGCCTTCCTTAATTTAAAGACATTATGAGGTCGATCTGAATCGACGAAACCAGGTGGTTGGGAAACATATACTTCCTCGTTTAAGGTATTTTGAAAGAAAGCATTGTTTATAGGGTTTTCTGCAAATCAAACTTTCAAATATTTTTGGTTTGCAACTGTACCCTTCATTATCAAATCGTCAGGTCTCAGTCAACCCGCAATATAACCCATGAAAATTATACATACACAACCATTTTGCTACGAGAATTAAATTTTTAATGTCAGTAATATATAAATATATAAACGCAAATCAATCCTAAACCCAACCCAATTTTCTTTTCCTTGGATCGATCTTCTTTCTCCATTACCGTTTTGTCTTCTTCGTCATCACCAGCGTCGGCTTGCTGTAAAGGAGTAGTAATCTGATCAAACATTTGGGTGGAGGACTGAAAAAAGTAGATCTATGGCTCATATTTTGAATTTTTTTTTAAACAGATCTATACTAGAGAAAATTATTCATCTTTCTCTTGAAAACCTTAAATTTTGCAATTGAATTTAGAAAATTGATTGAAAATTCAAAATTTCTCTAATTCAATTTAAATTCAACCAATTAGATAAAGATCTATGAAAAGGTTGAATGGGAAAATCAAAGAAATTGTTTATGTACCTAAGGTAATTTCAAAAAATTGAAGAAGATGAAGATCAAGAAAAGGAAAAAGAATAGAAGATGAAGATAAGTGAGAAAAAAAGAGAAAATTAAAGAGAAAGAGATTGGGCTGGGTTTATAATTGGTTTGATTTGTGTTAATATATTTATTTAGTTTTTAAATAACAATTATAACTATCATAACAAGATGGTTGGGTGCATGTCGCTTGACTTAGAGGTCACTGGTTTGAATCCTAGGATATGTTTAATTTTTGTTAAAGTGTTAAAATGGTGTAGTTTTGATAATTTATACATACTTATACACTTATTTTAAAATCTATACACAGACGATGGTTATATTGCGGATTGACCGAAACTTGAGGGGTTAGCCTGTGTTTTTTGATAATGGAGGGTACACTTGCAAAAGAAAATGTTAAAACAGTGTAGTTTTGATAATTTATACATACTTATACATTTATTTTAAAATCTATACATGGACGATGGTCATATTGCGGGTTGACCGAGACCTGAGGGGTTAGCCTGCGTTTTTTGATAATAGAGGGTACAGTTGCAAAATAAAAATATTTGAAAGGTTAATTTGCAGAAAACCATTATTTATATCAAGCTGTCGAAGACACTAAATAGATATATTTCAGTTTTCACCATAGTCATGATCCATTGAATCTATTTCTCATGAAATCCTAGAGCTCGCATTGTTGTTTCCAGAATTTCTACCCGATCATAAGCTTTGGTCATGTCAGTCTTTACTGCCATGTATATTTGGTATGTTTGTGATACTTTCTTTCGACTTTTCAAAGAGTGCATTAATTCATGGGCAACTAAGACGTTATCAAAAATAAGTCGACCAAAAATGAAAGCAGCTTGCGATTCAGTAACGATCTTGTTAAGATAAGGTTTCAGACAGGAAACTAGAATCTTGGAGATAATTTTATAGAGAACATTGTAGAGTCTTATAAGTCTGTATTGGAATAGTGTTTTTGGGTATTTTGTTTCTGGAATAAGACAAATGTTTATGTGATTGATACTTTTACCTATTATGGAAGAATCAAAGAAAGAAAAAACTTGGACAGTGACATCCTTGCCAATGATATCCCAACTCTGCCGTGGTCTCCATCCTCGAGGCTCGTGTATCCCCGCTCTAGGATATTGGGTCCGAGATCGTATTGAGACTCCCCGTCTCACGATTCATTTTTAATTTTTAATATTTTATCACAATAGATTATGTTTTTAGACAAAATAAATATAATATATTAAAAACAAGATATATTTTTTTATTATAAAAAAAATTAGATCACACCTTGAAAAACTGCAGCATTGTAGAGAAAGGAATAGCAATCCAATCAAGCTGAGAAGAGGACCATTGCAGCTGCTCATTCTCAGCACTAAGTAGTGTAAGCAAGAATAGGGTCAAGACCACCTTCAACATGCTGCCCCATGGAAGAAATTCCCAAATCAAAGCTTGTGAATTGTTTCATGCATTATATATGTGAAATATCTAAATCAAAGCTTTGTTATATTTGGTGCACCGGCGTGTAACCGTATACATTTCAAGAGACATCAAGCTTTCACATAAACTCAATTATTTACATCTCAAAGTTCTTTAGTAGAACACAAATTAGAATTTAGAAGCAAGCCTAGATGATAGATGAGGAAAGATGAGAAAGCCGTGAACTAAATTTCTTTATTGAATTGTACAACAAAATGATTATATTGGAATTTTGAACTCTAAACACAATGTGGAAAGTTCTTTTGGATTTGCATACTACATAGAGTTTCAAGGTACTCACATACATCTTTCTTTGGTGAATTGAATATTTATTAAATTCCTAGCTTTGTAGCTGTTTTTCCAACTCTAGTCTCTACTCTTTAGATCATACAACACCAAGCACCAATAGAGTTGTTTACTGCTTGCATTCTATAAATTATCATTGTTCTTGCAGAAAGTTGAAATCTCCGTTTAGTGTAGAATGTTCTATTCATAAGAGCAAAGTGTTCAACTTGTTCATTTTTTCTTAATTAGTGTTTCATCATTTTATCGGTTGTTCCGATAATACGTAACTTATAATCAAATCCAGTTTTTAACTATTGGATCCACATTTTTAAAGGTAAATTTTGAAGGCCAAAACACAAAACATTTGTTAGTTTAGATAGACACAACAAAAAGGTTAATGACAAAACAAAAAGACGTGTCTAAGTAAAAACATTAAGAACAAGTTGATAAACACAAAGTCACGTTAACTATACTCTTAATCACACCAGTGTTTACTATTAGTAGTAATCATCTTCCTAATCTTAGGCACGACTCCATTTTCCTTTACTCAGACATGGCAAGGCCTTACGTCGTTGTAACCAAACACAAATCTCTCATCAGTCGTTTCGAAGTAGACAACATATCTTGTGTAGTCGCTGTTTATCTTATAGACTCGACCAGACCACCATCCATCGTTATACCAAGCATCCACAGGTTGCTTCAGCTCATATCGATCACAAGCACTTTGAGGAGGATTAGGTCTTATGTCCGAACCTCTTGCTTCTTCTTTCAACAACTCTTTAAGATCCTCTGTTGTAAGCGTTTGATACTCAACTCTGTATCTGTTTTCCCCCAAGTAGCTTATGATCTTCGCAGTGTACCATGAGCCTTCGTAGCCTTGCTCATCGCTTCTAACTTCAACCATCGTTCCATTGCTAAACACTTTCTCTTCTATTTCACAACGTTTTAGCTTCTTTAATGGAGGATCTTCCTTGTAAAGACTACTACTACTCCATTGTTTGTTAAACACTTTCTCTGCTCTCTCACAAGGTTTCCGCTTCTTTAGTGGAGGATCTTCCTTGTTAGGACTAGTCCATTGTCCATTGATCCACTCTTTGTGAGGCCTCAGATTGAAATGTGGGATCGTCGGTTCTTCACCAGAGGAGATGAAGTAAACCAAAAACTTCGATTTTTGGTTTGGTTTCGGTTCGGTTTCTTCGGTTTTACGGTTTATCGGTTTTACAAAAATTCAAACCATATAAACCATATATATTTAGATTCGGTATAGTTTGGTTTTTTACGGTTCGGTTTGATATGGTTTGGTTTCGGTTTTTTGGAATTATACTATTATGAAAGTTTTTGATTCAAACTAATGGAAATAATAATAATAGATATGAGTGAAATAAAACAATAAATCCAAAAAATAGAATCTAAATCATAAAAAATTCATCAATAAAAATATATTTTAAAACAGAGAAACAAACAAATTATCAAATCTTTCATAATCAATAATTATAAAATAATAAATAAATCTAGATTAAAATTTAATACATATAACCTTGGAACTAGAACTAGAAGACTTGTATGTGAAAAAAAAAAGTTAATCACATTTTTCTTTATTAAAAAATTAAGGTTTATTTTATTATTTATATATAGATATTTTTTTTATAAATATTATATTTTAAATTTATGACTTAAGTTAGTAAATTATAAAGATAACTAAGCCAAATAATAAATTATATACCTAAACTAAATTAAGAAATTTGGAAAATATAAATTATTTAAAATTTAGTTTAAAAACCGAAAAAACCTTTTGGTTTGACGGTTTTTGACCAAACCAAACCTAAACTAAAGCTATAAAAAAATAATGGCCAAATGAATATTTAAATTTAACCATAACCAAACCATATCACTTTTTTGGTTTAGTATGGTTTGATTTTTTCGGTGTTCACCCCTAGTTTTGGTCTTCAATTCAAGAGATGGAACCCAGTTTCCTTCTTCCCACTCACGATGTAGCCTCAGGTTTAAGCGATTAGCCTCCGTCTCCGTACCATCTCCGCCTTTAACCCTAACAATGTACTTTGAGTTTCCGAAATTCGCCGTCACTTTGCCTCTAACCCAGAAACCTTCGCTGTCTATGAAGACGTCGACCTCGTCTCCGGCCACGAAGCTTCGGCTGATTTCGAAAGGCGGCGGAGATAGGCGGATGCGCGTGGGGTGCACGTACTCCTTCATGCGTTTGGAGCCTCCGACCATTAGGGATTCGTGCTCGACCCAGACGAGATTCTTTCTCATAGACGGCGCATTAACCACACTCGCCGGGAAATAAGCCGCCGCGCCGGAAACGAGTCGCAACACCTCAACGCGGTCGACGCCGCGCCAAAATCCTTCGGTCATCGTCTCAGAGTAAAATTGTTGGAACAAATTCGGGAGCAAATTCGGATCAACGACAACGAGACAAGATGGTTATTCGAGAAATTGATTCAATAAATCAGAGAATAGTACTATAACGGGACAAGATATGGTAAGAGTGAGTCAAAGAGTAGTCAACGGCAGAAAAAAAAAGGAAAACACCTAAACGTTCATGTAAGCTACAGTTTTGGTGTTTTACTTTTTTTTGATAGTCAAACTATACTGAATTTTGAAAGCTACAGTATTACAATTTGTTATTGAAACTCTTATGAAAATCTTACTTAAAATTATGAGATTTGTTTTTTTTTTTAATATATTTTTAACTAATAAATTCCATCAAAATACTTAAAATTTTGAACCATTCAGAACTTTTTCAAATTTACTACTTAAAAATAATTTTAATGATAATGGATTTGAAAATACATGTTTAAATCAATAGTTAAATGATATGAGATTTCAAAATATATTTTAAAATTTATATTTATATAGTTAACTTTAATCAATAAAACTATCAAAATCATGGAATTAATAGAAAAGATGGAAAAAATAATGAGAAAGAAGTATGACAAAGATATGGCACATGGAGAAGAGAGTAAAAATGAACATAATCAAGAAATATAAAAAGATAAAAAGGAGGCTAAGAGAGAAATATAAGGAAGAGATTGGAGAAATAAATAAAAATATGGAAGAAATGACGAAGGCAAAGGAAGAAACAAATAGAAGATAATGAAATATTTTGTTTCTTTGAGTATGTGAATTTCTTTTGTCAAAAACTGAAATCAAGAAACTGTATTATTGTAAACTAGATTTTGATCCGCATATTGCGGAGACTTGTTATCAATTTAATTTTAAATTTTATAATTTATTATATTTATATTACTATTATGTATATATATCCTATTTATTATAATGTGTTATATTTTTATTTTCATTTATATTACTTATATATATATTGTAAAAAACATTTTTTGATATAGATTGTGATGTATTAATTATTTCAAAATTTTTTCATTTATTTATACGTGGCAATAAGTATTATATATATCATAATTGTTTATCTCTATTCAATTTGTCTTTGATGTTTTTCTACAGTTTATTTTCATATATCAACAAATTGAAATCACTTGGATCTCTTTTTTTGAGAAGTTATTCTGATTTGTTCATCCATTTGGCATGATGAACTACTTGAATATATTTGAAAATGTGTGTGAGTATATTATTGTCTATTTTCATATCATGTGGAGGTAAACAACATGACTCTATTAAAAAGCATAATAAATAATTTTATTTTAGTTTATCTATATACTTCATAGTAAAACAGATATATTATCTCGTTGATGAGTAAAGTCATCAAATATCAACTTTACATTGTCATTATTGACAAAAAATGGTTGATAATTATTTACCGTTTTTTTCGTTGTATAAATCAAGTTCATTTCTAAGCTAATTACATAGTAAAATAAATATGGATGATTTTACTTTAGTTTTATGCATTAATCTTTTTGAGTTTTTTTTAAGTTTGATAACTAATCTTCTTACGTCAACTTTCATAATTGTTCACCTTCCAACTCAATTTCACATTTTGTTTGTTTTTTTTTTTTTAATTTCATATAGAATTTATAGTTTTTATGGTTTATATAATAAGTATTTGTTTTATATGAATGGTTTTACTTTAGCTTTATCCATAAATACTTCTAAGTCATGATAACTATTTTTCGGTAAGTTCTTCCATCATTTTTTGTATTTGTTTATCTTTCAAATTCTTTTTCATGAATAGGGAATTTGTAATTTTTTTTCTTTGTAAAATAAATATTTATTTTTAGTTTTAAATTAATATCATATGAAAGGGCCAAAAATGAATATCCAAAATATATAAAAGCCTATAAACAAAAAATGAAAATATTTAGAAGCCTATTTTAAAAATAAAAAATTGCTGAGGTGGATACTCTAGGTGGAGAGAAATCTGACTAATTATATATATGATTGTTTATAAATTAATAGTGTTAAGATTTCAAATTTTTATTATTTTATACAGATAATTTTGGTTTGAACTTTTGATGATAACAACAGATTATAGCAAATTGTGCAAACGTTGTTCGAAAAATGTCGCATTAATAAATTTAAAAGATGAATCAAACAAAATTTATCGTAGACCTAATTTTGTGATGAATAATCATAATTATCAAAATAACAGAATAAATGTACAACCTACACAACTTACTAGATGAAAATAATATGTGCTTGATAGTTTAAAGTATGAATACTGAAGAGAGAAGGTTTTGGAACAAATTCGGGAGATTAGGTTTTGTAACAAATTGGGGAGACTAAGTTATTACAACAAATTTGGATATAAGAGGAAGATTCAGAAATTGATTGAAGAAAGAAAGCAGAATACGAAAATACTGTGTGAGAGAGATAGCCTTTAAATTGTGTGTGAGATACGGTACTGGTCAAAAGTGGTCAACGCCAGAAAAAAAAAGGAAAACACTAAAACAACACGTCGTTCCAGGTTTATAGATTACAACATCTTGCTGTTTTTTGTTCTGCTTTGTTGATGAGTGTCAAATTAAGACTCCCAGTTAGGCAGTTACTACTTAAGAACCGTTGAAACTAGCTTGGAGTTCAAGTTTTAAATTATTGTGCATTTAGAAAAAATCCTGTCGTTTTGTCGTTCTTAGATTATCTCAATTCGAAACTAAATTAAATTTTGATTTTTACATCTATAGGCCTTTTATTTATTTTGATTTAGCCCAACTAATCATAATTGAGCTAATTATCATATAACTAATTAGCAAACTGAATGTAATTGAATTGAATCTGGCCCAATGATATATTTACGATTCTGAACCGAATATTAAACTAACCGAAATTTATCAAAATATCCGAATTTGGACACACAAAAAACCAGAAATTTCGATTCAATTCGGTAACAAAACTAAGAATCCGAACCGAACCGTATTTCTATCCGGTTAAGTTCCATTGTAATACCCAACAACTCAAGGAACCGAATCGAACCGCCAAATCCCCTATATATTAAAAGAGAAACATTTTTAAAGAATAATCTTAATTTTGTAAAATATTACAGTGGTATCATTTTGCTGATGTGTCATCACCAGAATCATTTTCAGCAAAGTTATAAAAATAGACTTATGTTACTAGATTAATTACATGTTATGCCACTCACATTAATTTGGTTATACATTAGTTTATATCAATTATATTGATGATGATTCATCAAGATATTCTCTTTTCCTATTTCTTACAAAAAATATATCATATTAATTATTTCTTTAAATACTATATTTTATTTCTTATTTTTATAAAAAAAATAAATCATCACATCATTCCTATAGTAATATATATATATATATATATATATATATATTTTTCTGTGTTATAATTCGAATTTCATAAAAAGATATAAATTACTTAAATGATTAATAAATAAAAGTATGTTTTAAAAGACTAAAATTGAAAATAAAGATGTATAGATAGATGATTCATAAATTAATATAAAAATACATAAATGATAAAAAAACAGGAAGCTTAATTTAATAGATATTATTATTTTTAATTTATACAACAAAATAATTTGGTAAAAAATTAAAATATTTTTGTAAGGATATTATATAATAATTTTATTAAACTTTTTGATATTACAAATATTTTTATTAAATCAAAAAGTTAAGAATGGATAAGCATTGACTCAGTTATATACAATTTTAGATAATTTATTAAAAATAATAAAAAGATAATTTATTTTTATATAATCTTTATGTATATTTAGTATTTAAAATAAATTTTACAGTAATCTTCTTTTCTTAAAAGTTAATATTCTTATGATTATAATTTTTGTGGGTTAATCTAAATATGCATTTACATTCGTATTAGAAATATTAAAATCGATTATAAAATTTTAAAATCAAATTTTATTTTTACAATTTTAATACTCTCTATTTCAAAATATAATTTATTTGTATTAAAGCACAAAGATTAAAAAGCAACTTTTCCTTTAAAAAGTAATCATTTAGTATATACATTAAATATAATTCAACTAATTATGAAAAATTGAAAAATATAATCGGTCACATAGTATTCATTGGAAGTAGTAAAAAATATATAAAAAAACTATATTGTAAAACAAAACAAAACCTTAAAAAAAATTAATATTATGAAACAGAGGAAGTAGTAAACTTTTTATTAGATACTTAATAATTTAATCAAAATATACTCCTTCTATTTTTTTTTAATTTTAAGATCATGTTATTAATCATAGGTTATAGAAAGTATAAAGAGGGACTTCTTATTTCTATACAGATTGTGAATATATATTTAATTTTTAAACTAATTTACATTAGAATTAAATTATCTTAAAATTCATATCATAAACAAAAAAAAATATTTTGTCAATATTACAACATAATGTTATAAACAACTTATATAAAATCAATTGTATTTTTTTATATAGTTTTAAAATTATACTATATTAAATAACTAATAATTATTTCACTCCGCACATGGTGTGGATTATTACCTAGTATAATAGTATCATTGACACAAAGGAAGTCTGTTTTAGTGAATAGTGACTGTACTGTTAGATCAGCTTAAGTGTTCAGGATTAATCTGAAAAAAGAAAAGTTTCCCATAAAATGTTTTTTTTTTAAAAGAAAAAAAAAAAGAAAAACCCTATTCCCCGTTTTATTCCTCTGGGAAAAAAATAAAATTCGATCCCTAAAACCAAATTTTCCGAGAAAATCTCCTGATTTTCCGTCTTTGCCGAGAAAAAGCCATAGCTACGGTACGCTAACCATCTCTACGCGATGGAGTCTCGACGGAACCCTCGCGCCGTTGTCGATCCAAAGGTCCGGCAAGTCGGCTTCTTCACATCTCAACCCGATTCGACTCAGCAACCCGACCCGATCGCCTCCGCTTCTCATCCCGTTTCCAGCATTTCTCCCTCCGGAAATTCCCTCTCCCCCGTCATGATTCCTCCGCCTCGCCACAACTCTTCCGATACCTTCCCTCTTCGCGCCGCCGTTGCCTCAGCCGTATCTCCTTCCTCGTTCTCCTACTCCAGCCGCCGCGATTTCCCAGACGGCTCAACGACGGCGTCTCCTGGACGCGTTTCCAGGGCCAGTTTCGCGAGATCGCATGTTCCGGCTGCGTCTTCACTTCCCGGTGTCGGGATGGATTCTATGGCGGCGGCTAAATCTAGTAGCGTTCCGGCCAGTGGATTAACCACTGTCTCCGTCGTGAATATGCCTCCTGGACTCTCTGGTACTGTCACTTGTTCAAAAAAATCTCCCCCAGTTCTTGATTGATTTGCAAATGGGTTCTTGAATCATAATGTTTTGTTTGTTTATTGCAGAGAAGGCGAGTGGAATGGAAGTGAGTGAACAGAAGAAGAACTCTAAGCCATTGAAAGAGAAAACCACAAAAGCTGAGAGACGAGCTCTTCAAGAAGCTCAAAGAGCTGCCAAAGCAGCTGCAAAAGGTGCGTTTGAACACATACCAATGTGTGATTATCATTGCTTTTCCGCCTTAAATGTATGAAATTGACTGTGGAGCTGTTGCTGGATTGTGTTATCGTCTTGCATTTCGGCGATATCTTGCTTATACTGTGCTTATATCAGCTGAAGGTGGGAAGGCGCCATTAGTGACCTCAGGCACGGTGGCTTCAACAAATGTTAAAGCTGCTAAACCAGCAAAGCCCACGTCTCAGAAGAACGACGTCGCTGTTGCTGCTGGACCATCTGAGAAGAAGGGAGGTCCATCTGAGAAAGACAGAAAGAAAGATGCTCCTCATCCTCGCATGCAATATGATGACGAGAGCAGAGTCGTCAAGGCGAAAAGACGTGCTGTTGTAAAACAGACCGAGGCTAAAAACAGGGTTGAGCTATTTAGGCATTTGCCTCAGTATGAGCATGGGACTCAACTTCCTGATTTAGAGACAAAGTTCTTCCAGCTTGACCCTATGCATCCTGCTGTGTACAAGGTATTATGGATCCTATTGATGATCTCTTAGTTGAAATGAGGAACCGTTTTGTTCTGATTAGTGGTTGCTATTGCTTTATAGAGATGAATGTTACTAGTGTATTGAATGAGTATCAGCTGTTGTGGTTATCAGGTTGGTCTTCAATATCTCTCCGGGGATATATCTGGTGGCAATGCAAGGTGTATTGCAATGCTCCAAGCATTTCAAGAGGTTGTCAAAGATTATTCTACACCGCCTGAGAAGACGCTTAACAGGGATATGACTGCGAAGATAAGCAGCTACGTCTCTTTCCTCATAGAGTGCCGTCCGCTTTCAGTTAGCATGGGAAACGCGATCCGGTTCGTGAAAAACAGGATCGCGAAGCTGCCTATAACACTTGCTGAATTCGAAGCGAAAGCTGCTCTTCAGTCAGATATCGAACGGTTCATCAACGAGAAGATCATAATGGCAGATACGGTGATTGTCAAACACGCTGTTACCAAAATAAGAGACGGTGATGTGCTTTTGACATATGGATCTCCAACTGCTGTTGAGATGGTGTTGTTACGTGCGCATGAGCTCAGGAAAAAGTTCCGTGTCTTGGTGGTTGATTCTCGCCCGAAGCTTGAAGGGCAGCTTCTGCTTCGTAGACTGATCAAACGAGGCATTAACTGTACATACACTCATATAAACGCCATTTCGTATATCATGCACGAAGTCACCAAAGTGTTTTTGGGCGCCTCGTCAGTTTTGTCAAACGGAACGGTTTACTCGAGGGTCGGGACTGCTTGTGTTGCGATGGTTGCAAGTGCATTCCGTGTCCCTGTCCTTGTCTGTTGCGAAGCCTACAAGTTCCATGAGAGAGTGCAGCTGGATTCAATATGCTCTAATGAGCTAGGTATGCATCAACATCATCTCTTATACCGCCTCTGATTTGCTTGACCTTACCTTGGAATTGGATTCTCGTTATTTAGGTGATCCGAATGCTATTTCCAAAGTTCATGGAAGAGAAGATATAAACTACTTAGATGGGTTGACCAACAACACAAACCTGCAGTTTCTGAACTTAATGTAAGCGTGTTTAAACCAGAGAAGTGAAACTATGTTCTTTTATTAACAACACTCTTCTCTTCTGCTAAACCCGTTTGTGATAATTCTAATTACAGGTATGATGCTACTCCTTCAGATTACATTTCCATGATAATCACAGACTATGGCATGGTAAGATAAACCATTTTCTCTTATATTAAAACATTAGAAATTCTTAACTTTGCTATTTGCAAGTCCATAAGAACATCTCATTTCTAATCACAGTTTCTCCATACGTTCAGAATCTCATACATTGTACATTGTCCAGGTACCTCCCACAAGCGTGCCTGTCATTGTGAGAGAATATCAGAAAGAACACTTGCTCGTCTAAGCAAAAGCTCGCTCTGGTTCATAAATTTTTTGCCCTCATCAAAGGTGAAAGCTCTTCTTCTCCTTCCTCTAGCTCAGGCCCTCTTCTCGTCACAACCCGCATAGAATAACTTCCGGCACCGTCTCCGTCTCCCGCTTCTTTTTCCCCTGAGTACCGGATTCGATTTTTTGTTGGCCTTGACATGTTTTTTTTTTTATTACAAAACTTTTTGACTCTGTGAAGAGTGCGATTCATCAACCGCCTCTCCGGGAAAAGATTTTTATCGATATCAGTGATGTTTTTTTTTCTTTTGTATGTGATGTATGAGTGATGAAGGCTATTTCTTTATTCTCCCTTCTCATGAAGGGTTGATACAAATCTGAAATCTCTCAAAACTCTTTTTGGCTTCTCATCATTTTGTTTGCATAAGGCACAACACAAGTCACTGCTGTTAAAAAAATCACTTCAAATAAACTCAAATCTCATCACAAATGTTTCAAAAAGTAATGATTGTAAAGAACCATCTTTTGAGGTTATAGGCCCTATTGAGTAAGGACTTGATCTTTGCTGTTGACTGGAGTAACAACAGCGAGTACCACAAAACCGCCAAGAACAAGAATCAAAACACCCATTGTGTTAACTAACATTGCCTCTGTTGAATACCGAGTGATCACCTGATTCACTTGCAGGAACGTCACTTTCTCAAGTATCCCTGTGGTTGCAGTCACTAAAGCCAATGCGTATATGTAAACACCTAAGAACACGTGCCACGACATCAAGCTGGCTCGGCTGTTTCTCGAACCTCCTGGGTACCAGAAAGTCACAAACCCTGCAGCCCACTGTTTTGTAATGACAAATAGCTTTTGAGTTCTTTGGTGTTTGTTTATTACTGAGTAATGGAAGAGTTTTTGCTTTGAGAGAAGAGAGAGAGAGTGTGTGTAAACCTGGAAAGCGAAGAGGAAGAGACAAGCTAGGCCGAGCCATGAGTGGAGACTGTAGAAATTCTCGATCCCTTTGTCGATATGGAACTTGAGAGCAGCCCATACTCCGATTAAGCTTAGGATAAAAGCTGTGAATTGTAGTGTAAGATGGACCAGTTTCTTCATGTTCTTTGTTCCTTGAACTGACTTGTATGCTAACATTGCTGCATAGTTTCAAATGTTCACAAACGTTAGAAACCAATACTATGAATCCTAAACCTCTCGATGAAGGAAGCATACGAATTTTTTTAAGTCTTGTTCATTGAACCTATGAAGCTAAGACTTGCAAACGCTAACAAAACAAACTGATGAAAGAAAAATGAATCAATAATGTCATTGTGATTACAAGGAACAAAATATCTTAAAATATCTGATGGATGTTGCTACAGCGTATCTATATGGATCACATGTGAATGAGATTGTTAGAGGAAAGGAATCTGTTTATACCTTCACCATTGAAGAGTATGAGTCCAATCACCATCAAAACTGGATGAACCTGGAAACAAGAACATCATCAAAATTCCAATTTCACAACACGCAATCTCAGACACAGAAACAAGAACATTTTGCATTCGATCAAATATCAATCCAGCTTTCTTGTATTTCTCAAAATCAAAATCTGTAAGAAAGGGTCAACTAAAATCTGTGAAAAGGAAAGAAATTTACATTAAAGATGAGATCTTTGTTATCGGAAGCAAGAGCTAATCCTCCTCTGTAGTGAACAGTCCATGTAAGAACCAAAGCCGCAATGATGAAACCCAGAACTCTCACTACCAAGAAGATCGGAAACCCACCCAACACCGGAACCGCCATATCAGTGCCCAGAAATGCGAGTGAATGATCAAATCAGGATGAATTAGGGTTAGGGTTCTAGTTTTCAGTTTAAGTGGTAGAATTTTGGGGATTTCTGATTGAAAACTGAAAATTGAAAAACACCGCCTCTGATTAGATCGGAGATGTGGGAGAAATTACTGGATTTTGAGGTCAACCAAAATGATTTTCTCAAAAAGTCAATAATAATAAAGAAATAAAAAATTGTTATAACTTAACTATTGAAAAATATGTTTAATGAAAAAAATCTGATATATCATCACTTTAGTAAAAGTTAATGCAAAACAATGCTACTTTATAAATGTAATATGACAAATTTTCTAAAATAAACGAAATTTTTGATTGGATAAGTTAAAATTAAATAAATCTCATTTTTAAATAAGAAAATTCATATCTTAACAATTATTTGAGAAGCATGTTTAATGAAAAAAATCTGAAGTGTCATCACTTAGTAAAAGTTACTGCAAAACAATGTCACCTCATAAATGTGACATTGCAAATTTTCTAAAATAAACGAAATATTTTGACTGGTTAAGTTAAAACTAAATAAGTCACATTTTTAAATAAAAAATATTTATATCATATATAAATAAATTCTCATTATATAGCAAAAGTTCAAAATTATAAATGGAAAAATAAATAAACAGATAGAAAAATAAATTATAAGTATTCTGTTAGCTAATTTTTTATTATAATATTGTATATATGATTAAAAAGTAAAAATGAATCGTTACGACTTTAATTTTATGTAAAAATCTTAGGCTATATTTTTGGTTTAAAGCATCTGTAATCCACATTTATTTTAATTTAAGGAAAGAGAAAAGTTATTATTTTTTCCTCCAATTATAGGGGAAAAAATAACAATCTTTGTTTTCCTGTAAAATAGAAATAGGTTGTAGAGTAATCCACTTATATTTTAGAGGAAAAAATAGAAAATACATTGCAGATGATCTTAATGTTTAATGTATTATTAAATGCTAAAACAAATATGAGTCAAAGAAGATTAAAAAAAAAAAAATTTGATCAATTTTAATTTTTTATTTGAAATATTTAAAAATATTATCTTACACGTATTAATTTTTTAATGTATATATTTTTCTAACGTATTAAACCATTATTTCATGAATCAAGTTTTGTATATGTTGTGATTTATATTTTATATTAACAAATATATTAAAGTTAGGAACAGATTAACTCTTACTTTTTAATAACTATCAAATATTAAATATATTATTTTACACCTTAAATCATACACATATAATTTTAGATATGATTGGGTTAAACGATTCGGTTACAGAGAGTTTGTGGAAGCGAGTGATTGCAGATTATAAAAAATTTGACAAAGAGCGGAGAGATACCGGAGAATTTTATAAAATATGATTTCACAAATTTTATAATAAATTTTTATTATATTTTTTATTGAGAAACCATATATCATCAAATGCTGGAAAAAATAAGAAATTTTGATTAAATACAAAACGATAGAATAGGTTTCTTGATTGTTGTTAAACGCCAATAAATGCATCGTCTAAAAACATAATTGCGAAAAATATCAGAAAAAACTTAACAACACCTAAATATTACAATTCACTTATTTCTAATTAATACCTACATGCATAAATATATTTATATTTTTTTAAAAAAAAAACCCATACATTATAAAAAATATATATTACAAAACATATACTTAGTTATTTTCTTTTAACACATAAAAGCCATACTTTGATTTTCTTATAAATATGCGTGTAAATATAAATATTAATTATGCAAAAGTCAAACTTTATGTCGTGCATACATTTTGTTAACCTCAGTTACACTCTAATTTTAATTTTAGTTGTTAGACAATTATATTTTTTAAAAAAAGTTATATGTCCTAAGAGCGGTGAGGTGGTTGGTATCCACGAATGTGCAGGCCAACCATCTACACGCTCTTAGGATAAATATATATGGTAGAATTCATTTGGGTTTAATTAGCAATAAGTCAAGGAAAAATGTATACTTAAAATATATATATTGGCAAGATATATTGAACACATATTATAAATTATATTTGCAATTATATGTTACTGTAAATGCTAGAAAAAAATAATAAAAAGTTTTCAAAAGACACAAAACGATATGAAACGTTTGTGTGATTGTTGTTGAACACTAAAATTATATATGTATAAAAACATAACATTTACATAATGTATAAGAAAATTAATCAATACTTAATATTACAATTAATTATGTTTATAAAAAAATATACTTGTACATGTGTGCGGACCAAAAATATAAATTAAATAAATTATTATATATTTTAATATTTTCTATTTATTTGGTTATCATATTTACATTTTTATCCAAAGATATATTTCAAAATCTTAGTTAATATTTTTTATTTTTATTTTCTATTGAAATATATAATATTTTATATTTAGTTTATCGTTATTTTAAATTTTCAAATATCTATTATCTTATTATTAATACATAATTAATCATATACAAATAAAACATCTTTAATACTATATTAATCTTAATTAAACATATAAAATATTTTATAGCCTGCACACGGTGCAGGTCGATCACCTAGTTATATATAAATGGGATATGCATTTGATATATGTATTACAAATATAAATAAGTAAAGAGATGGAAAGAAAGAGGCGAGAGGTAAATTTTTTTTTGGTAAACTGTAGGAGACGAGGTCTCTTATTTTATTCATGAAAACAAACGTTACACTCAAACACGTCGAACACGAGACATTCTGTTTGCATCCTCCGACAAAAGCGAAGTAACACTATCCGGAACAACATCAAACAAATGCAAACCTAAAGGTAAAGAAAAGGCATAGTTCGCCAACCCATCTGCTAGATAGTTAGCCTCTCTATGAATGTGTGTAATCTTGACCAACCAGTCTCTTGATATGAAGCCGTAGCACAAGCGTACTAGGAATGACAAAGGATGAGAATCTCTAATCCCTATCTGCAGAAAACCAACCACCATCTCTGAATCCACTTCCAGTTCCAAGCAGGTTACCTTGCGCTCCCAGGCAATGCATAATCCGTAGTACACTCCCCATAACTCCGCCAAAGATGCAGAACAAATCCCAATATTTAGTGAGAAACCTCCAGACCAAAGCCCTGAAGCATTACGCAAAACTCCACCCGCGGTTGCAGCTCCTGGGTTACCTCGTGAAGCTCCGTCTGTATTGAGTTTCACCCATCCTTCCATTGGCCTTGTCCAAGCTATCTGTTTTTCCACTCTTACTACAGCTTTCGAGCTCGCTTTCAACTTTAAGTGTGCAACTGTCACTTCGTGGGCTTGATCTTTTACAAACCTTACTCTGTCTCTGCATTTCCCTATAACCCCAAAGACATATCCACACCGCCATTTCCAACTCCACCAGACAACCATCGCGAACAGAGGCGAGAGGTAAATGAGCCAAGAGAGAGAATGTGTTTTTCTTTCTTTAATTGCTCTCCTCAAATGTCATTAACAAAAAGGGGTAAGAGGGTTTATATAGTGAAAAGAAGAGATGGTTATAATGTTTAATTACAAATCGAATTAAATGGATAAGCATGAAATGTTTAAAGACAAAATATTATCATTTAACATTCTTCTCTGATTATCCATTTTTTCTTTATTTACTACATACTGTTTCGTTAAAAACTTAATTATGGAAAAACCGGTTTAGGAATAAAAACCATGATGAAGAAAAAAAAGTGTAGTAATACTTATCCTCGAAGTAATGGATGTAATCTTTTCTTCATAGATCTCAGAGATGATGCATTCCGATGCTATGAACATATTTTCTGAATGTTGTCGTGGGAAGTGCCTTTGTAAATAGATCAGCTGCGTTGTTGCATGAACGAACATATTGAATATCCACTACCTGATTTTTCTCGAGCACCTTGGTGTAAGAGAAAAATCTTTGAGGGATATGCTTCGTTCGATCACCTTTGATATAATCTTCCTTAAGTTGAGCGACACATGCATCATTATCTTCAAATATTTTTGTTGGCTTGTTCTTTGTCTCTATTCTGCTTGCATCTTGTATATTATGAATTATAGATCTAAGCCATAAGTATTCCCTACAAGCTTCATGTAATGCAATACTTTCTGCATAATTTGAAGATGTTGCAACCAGAGCTTACTTTTGGGAACGCCAAGAGATCGCAGTTCCTCCAATTGTAAAAATATATCTAGTTTGCGATCTAGCCTTATGCAGATCTGATAAATATCCTGCATCTGCAAAACCAACCATACCAAACTCGGGGTTTCTTGAATAAAATAAACTAAATTCAATGGTACCTTGTAAATAACAGAATATGTGTTTTATTCTGTTCCAATGTCAGCGTGTAGGAGATGAGCAGTATCTTGTAAGTAAATTAGTAGCAAAAGCTATAATAGGTCTAGTATAATTTGCAAGATACATAAGCCCCCCGATAGCGCTCATATAAGGTACTTCAGGACCTAATATTTCTTCGCTATCATCACATGGCCGAAATGGATCTTTATCAACATCGAGCGATCTATTGACCATCGGAGTACTCAAAGGAGTCCCTTTATCCATACTAAAGCGTTTCAAGATCCTTTTCGTATAATTTGATTGATGCACAAATATACCATCTTGGAAATGCACTATCTGGAGCCCAAGACAAAACTTTGTCTTTCCAAGATCTTTCATTTCAGACTCTTCTTTCATATGAGTTCTTGCATCATCAATCTCTTTTTAAGTTCCGATTATATTCAGGTCATCAATATAAACAGCAATGATCGCAAATCCCGATGTGGATTTCTTAATAAATACACAAGGGCACATCGCATTGTTGACGTAACCTTTACTTAATAAATACTCATTTAAGCGATTATACCACATGCGCTTGGATTGTTTTAATTCGTAAAGTGATCGCTGTAACTTGATCGCACACATCTCTTTAAATGTTGATCTTAATGTTTCCGGAATTTTTAATCCCTTAGGGATTTTCATATATATATAT